TATATATATAAAATAGATGAAATACTCCCATTAAACACCTGGCAGAGCAAAGCAAGGCATTTATATGAAATGTTGGGAGGTAAATGCAGAGAAATCAAATAGTTCCTCTTCTGATCCAGTTTGATTTATAGTTAAAATCACGAGTTTTCTCCTCGCTTGCTGCTCTTATCAAGTGCATCTCAGGGGACTGAGTAGGCAGGTTATGGCCATTGTCCTTAGCAGCCAGGTGAGGCTCAGGTAGGCCGTGACGTCATCCAGATACTTTTGACCTCCTTGGCAGTAAATCCATAAAGGTGTGTATCCTTACCGCTCAGGTGCAGTTATAGCACCGAACTCTTAACTGCTGGAAACAAACACAGCAGCCGAACATGCGCCAAGGGGCCTGATCCACCTGAGATCAGACCGAACCTGTCATCCATTCTCCGGCATGTACCCCAACTACCAGCCGGGGAGACACCCGGCTCAGACCCTCACCCTGAACGGCCAGTACCTTCCGCCTGCTTATGATTTCTCCGGTTACCATCACAGCGTGTCGGGGGTCACCGACCCATCAACGACCACCTGGAACCCTGTTTATACTCCCCGCGAGGAGAACCCCTACAGCTTCCCGGGTTCGAGCCCCAGCGCGGGGCAGGTGAGCTACACCTCCCCGGAGCTGAGCAACGCCCCCTCAGCCGCAGGAGGAGAGGGGTCCCTCACTCCCTACAGCTTCATCCCAGGACAGGACCCCTTCAGCTTCCGGAGGAGACCACCTGAGCCCATCAGACAGACATTTTCAGGTTAGACTTTATCTATAAACATTGTTTTTAAAACATATTTAATGGTTTCATTTTTCAAAATAAACATTTTCTAAGGATAAAAAGTTTTTTTTTTTCTATTTCACATTTTGAACAGTTTGAACATGTACTGTGTTATCGTGCAGCTGATCACGTCAGCTTATTTCACTAACAGGAAGGAAAAGCATTATCTTGATAAACTTTTCAGTCATTCTGCTCTGCAGCAGCACAATAATCAGTTTAGCAGGGGGCCGGGGGGGCAGGTGTAATGCATGGTTTTTTGGATGACAGCATTATGCATATTGGAGTTAGATCAGTCTGAGGTAACATGCATTCATCATTCTGTTCACCTCTCCCTTCCGGTTGCTTTCAGATGTCATTGCAAAGCCAACAGTAAGGGCCAAATCTACACAGTTATCATTCTCCACCCTTTGTATCCACTGAGTTGATGCAACACATTGACAAATCACACTGCAGGGTGGCAGTGGAAGTCAAACTACAAGTCCCCTGACAGAAAGCCATCAGGCTTTAACCGTATCTTTGTGGTGCGTGTGCATGGATCAGTCGATCAATGGTGTCACATGCTCAAAAATTTTCTAATCAATAACTCTCACAGCGAGTTAAAGAACATTTTTGTCGATGAATGGCTGCCTGTGAAAACACCAATGCAAACAGAAGTCCCGGAGATAAGGAGAGCCAGCAAGGCGACGCATAGAGAAACCTCTATATTAGTTAGTATTAGCATGATTAATAGAGCTGATGAGGATTTAAGTGGCGCCTGACCTGGAAGTTGGCTCCAGACGTGTTTGGCCAATTCTTCCACCATGTGTGACTCACTGAAACATTATTTCCTACTGCATAACTCAGGTTTGGATCAAACTGCCCTACAGGGGACTTTGCAGAAAAAAGCCACCTCTTATATTTTTTTGTTTCAGTGATTATTGCTGATATCAGAAACACTGGTGCAGACATATGACATTAAATACTAAATATAATCTGCATGGTGTGCAGGTAAACACAGAAAACCTTTCTGGAAGCAAAAATATAAATCAAAATATCACAAGTACTCAGTTTGCAAAAGTATTCAGTTCAAAAATTACATTACAAATAAATAGTTAGTGTTATTACTTGACCCTTCAAGTGATGTCTCCTTAAACTTTCATTCTAAAGTTTTGTTTATTTGCCTTTTTCTAAATTGTCCCTTTGTGCTGAGCATGCATTCGTATTATTATGTGTCATGTTTTTCTTAATTTCTATGTAATTCAGTTGGAAAGACACGGACGAAGGACAAATACAGGGTTGTGTACACCGATCACCAACGGCTGGAGCTGGAGAAGGAGTTCCAGTGCAACCGCTACATCACCATGAGGAGGAAGTCTGACCTGTCAGTTTCTCTAGGACTCTCTGAGAGACAGGTGAGGCGAATGAGGTGAACAGGATAGTTTAATGGCAACGAATATGAATGAATGTAAAAAAACAAAAAAACACAAATAAACAGATATTCTCGATACATACTCGGCTGTTAAACAAGCGATAAATGAACAGACCCACATTTCATCTACATGCAGTTCTATTTTTTTGCACATACCTTATGCAAAAAAACAGAAGCACACGTTTTGTGGTATTTGTACACATCATAAGGGATTTAGCACATTCTGGCATAGCAAAAACGATACAGAGTTGTAATTTCAGTTGTTCCTGTATTTTTTGTTGCTGTTCAGCTGCACTAAAGGCCCACCATTAGACAGCATTTATCACATTTTCCAGCAGCAAACAAAAAAGAGCCCACATGCACCACTGCCTGCGGGATATTGATTTAATTATTTATTTTCATATAAGAAGAAAAATATACAAAACAGCGTGCCTGAAATTGGAATGAATAATGTTTTTACTCTTGCAAAAAGGAGAAGTATTTAAGATTCTTGATGACAGCCAGCAGTTTTCACATCTACACCCTGTATAACTTATTGAATTGTGTGATTACGCCTTAACGATCAGTGGTAAGGGTGTTGCAGTCTATGGAATTTTAACATTGGTGGTTCTTATTTTAACAGCTTCATGCAGCGATTACAGACATTATTATTTGCATAACTTGATGTACTGGAAGCAACGTTTTGGCTAGATGATGCACAAATAATTAAACTTGCATTTTATTTCTATTATAAGGAATAAAACTTGATTTTTAAATGGGTTGCATTTTTCTTTTTATGGTAGTTGTACAATAGATTTGACAAAAAATAAGTGTACATTAATGTGCAGAGATCTTTTCTGATATTAAGATGTCCACCTCTTAAAAACCTATATAATCAGTTATGGTTTTGTGGCTAAATGCCTAAATGCCCTTTTCTAGATAGAAGCATTAATGGTGCACAGCTCGCTGTTGCTTCCTGATGCGGCTTGTATTACTGTGTCTTCTGCCAGCTCATGTAATCATCCAAACCCACAGCTTTGTGTGATATCAGAAAATGTTAAAGTAATTCTGAGGAAACTGAACATTGCTAAACTTAACCATAAATAGACAGGGTACAGGAAGCTTTAACCACACAACCTATAACCACAAGTATTCACACCCCTTCAGCTTTTCTACATTTAGTCACATTTTAACAAATTTTTTCAAGTTTTCATTTGATTCAAAAGAACAACAAAAAAGCACTGCATATTTTTTAAGTGGAAAGGGAGATGATACATGGTTTACAATTCTATAACCTCTTAAACTTCTCTCCTTTTAAATTTCCTTCCATCCATCCATGAGGAAGAAGGATTACTTGGAAAGAACTCAAGTATATACTATATCAGGGTTTCCGCGGGTCATTAAAAATCATTAAAAGTCATTAAATTGTTATTTTTTTAAATTAAGGCCTTAATTGGCATTAAAATTCATTAAACATGTTTATTGTGGCATTTACAATGCTTTCTTAAAAAAAAAAAAAATTTATAAAAACAATTTCATCAGACATATTATATCACGATATATTTGCGTGGAACTGCTTCCGGTTCATTGCAAAGATGTTTGTTCGGAAAAGAAGCTTGAGTCGGAGAAACGGCTAGAGAATGGGGAAGAATGCCAATTTCAACAAAAGTGGTTGGAAAACGAGGAATTCGGGGCATAGCTGCAACCGGCAGAGGGTTGGTGGCATTAAAATTATTCATAAGAGCATTAAAAGCGCATTAAAAAGCATTAAATTAGAGTTATTTATTCCTGTATAAACCCTGTATATAGAAAAATTGAAACACAGGATGTGAGGATAGGGCGTTATTGCAGTTTAAGGCCCTGCGTGTGAATGCTTCCCGTTATTGTTGCAAGTAGTTACTACTGCACTGAAATTCTTACAAATCAACAATATTTTTAGAAGTTTAAAAAAAGGTAAGGTTTTACATATATGAAATGTTAAGATAAAACCAAAAACCATGCAGCTCCTAAGAATATCAGAGAATCGGGTCACAATATCAGGGAATCTAGGGTAGAAAGTCTAAAGGGTTGCAAAACATGGAACTGGCTAAGATGGCTGCCTTCCAACAAGACATTGGTCCAAACAATACAGCCAGAGCTTCTGTTTGATGGTTTGGATCAAAAATTACCTTTGCATAACAGGTTTAGATTAAGGATCTATGCTGCAAAGACAGCAAATGTGGAGACATGCTTGAAAACCATAAATGATGTCAAGGCATTACAGGCTGCTAAAAATAATGTTTCTTTAAATACTCTGAAAAGTCATCTTTCCGTTTTTTTTGTGTGTTTATCAGGTGAAGATCTGGTTTCAAAACAGACGTGCGAAAGAGAGAAAGATCAACAGGAAGAAGCTGCAACATTCCCAACAGGCCTCCACAACGACGCCCACCCCACCTGCTCTTGGTGTACTCACTGAATCCCAAGTTACCAGCAGCCCCGGCACCAGCAACATACTGTCGGACATAAAATCAGAGGAGTACTAGCTGGATTCCTGATCCAAGACAGACAGCATATCTTAAATGTAAATAGTTTCTGTTTTTATTTGTTCAACACAGAATAATTAACCATTCACATCACTGATGCCACTAATCCAGTTTTCTGTTTTTTAATGTGAAGCTACACATGTTGCGCCAATCATTTCTACAGGGTGCATTAAAAATATTTAGCTTTTTATTTACCAGCATATCCTATTATCAGATCAACACAGTAGCAATTTACATGTTTAATGTTTATAGCGCAGTACAAAAAGTATTTGCACCCTAACAGGTTTCTGCAGGGTTTTTAATTAGCTAATGACATTTACAGCTACAGGTCATCAAAATTTATTGGTAACAGGTGAGGTTAGCGTGAAGCTTCTTTTCTAATTTTTTGGAACAGCACTTTTATTTATTAAGGAAAAGAGGTAAATGAACCAACCCGCTTCTAGGTGAAAAAAATAACCGAAATAAACCAGACATTTGCCTCACATTCACTAGCTAGCCACACACTGGCCTGTTTATTGCTAGACCTGTAGAAATAAGAACTCACTCAAATAGAAACTAAAGAATGTTAAGTCATCAGTTTGGGATCTTAAGACAAATGCACTTAGAAACTGTAGCAGTGTAATAACTAAAATAAAATCACACCTGTAAGTCTAAAATTTTAAAAGTAGCAAAAAACCAAACTAAATAAAGCTTTTGAGGGTCTAGTACACATCTATGCAGTGAAATGACCTTAAAACAGACCTGTCATGTTGAAAAACCACCCAGTATGACTTTAATTAAATAGTCCTGCATAAAAAAGTGACACAAACTTAATCTTGAGACGGAAAAGCCTCCTTCCCACTTATCAGGAATAATTGATAGCGGTTGTTGACAAGGCTTGCACAGTCATTAGGTTTAAGGTCAGATAGTGTAAGGATATTTTTTACCCTAATAAATAAAACCATGTCAATATTATTACAATTATTATTATGTTTTGTACATACTCAGGTTATATTTCATGTGGTGGAATGTTGAAGTTTCACAAGAAAGCAAAACGAAAAAGGCCAATCTGTACCAACAAATATTTCTTCACAACACTGTATTTGTTAACCAGTTAACCAGCATTGGAAAAACCCTTTCACAGGCCTCTTTTTAAAGAACAAAATATTAATTAAGTTAATTATTATTTTAAGTTTGGTCTTCTGTTGTTAAATATATCTTGCATTAAGAAGTTATTTGTTCTTCTTTTTTTTTTACCAGATACCGACATGGCAACTGCTGTGCTGGGTGCTTATAGGTAGCAAAAATTTAAATGAAGTTCAAAAATAGATTTGATATGACATTTTGTGGAAGTTCTGCTGTTTCGGTTTATAGGAAACGGAAACAACAAAGCAGAAAGGAACATGGAGAGAGAGAGAGAAAAAAAGAAAAGTGAACTAAAGTTTTCTGAGGTTTGAAAAATTTTCAATATTGAAGCATGAGAGATTGAAGGAAAATTTTTATCTTTATAAAGTGGCTTTATTCAGACCTTTTTACAAAAAAAAAAAAAAGTTTTCAGGAAGTACAGTTGTAAAAATTAGGAAACTAGAAATTAAGATGGCGGTGTTTAGCCACATCCTGAAAGACAGATGCAAGATTGCTCAACCACACATCATGTGATTTTCAGTCACTGTAGCTCTAAACAAAGAGTTTCAGCTGTATGTCCTTAAAGCTTAAAATTAAGCTAATATTTTAAAGAATACATGCATGAAAAAAAAAGACAGAGTTTAAGTTATCAATTCCTGGACTAACTTTATCTCAGCTAAAGAACTGGCTTGCTTGAGGCACAAAAATTGGCACTGGACTTTGTTTTATGGTGGGGTAACTATGGCATGGCACGGCAGGGTCATATGAGAGTGCCATGACAATCATAATCTCTTGACATTTATGGAAAACAAATCTTTAATTACATCTTAAACAATCATACAATGGTTGATACTCTCTGAAAATACAGAATTTGAACATTTGCAGAGAACCACACTATCTAGTTCCTGTTCTTAAACTGGACGAAGTTGAACTCTTTATTTGAGCAACAGGAAAAGATATTAGATGGCAGTTTAAGGAGAATACAACTGTCTTCAATCATAAACCTACTTTATGGTCCTGTAAGTCAGCTGAATGATTGTTAACCTTTAACCTTGGACTATAAAACTTAACATATCCTGTCGTTGATTAAACAGACAGAAAGTGAAAGCCCAAACTTCTCTGGAAAAATCGGACCACAAGATCAAAGTATCACTAAAAATCATCAAACACCAGAACAATCTCTATAAATATACCCTATTTAATGGTTTTTAAACTTGCAATATGTACTAAAGAAAAAAGAATTGCCTAATGATATAATCAGTTTCATTTATATTGTTAAGAAATTATTTAGGAATAAAATAAATATCATCCAAAAGTTTAACACTGCTGAAAAGATCAGGTTGCCTTTAAATGTGATTGAATTTAGTTGCTAGTAGAAAGCAAAACTAAAACAAAGCAGTGAACATTTGCCAAAGGGAGGGACATGTATTTGGAGTTTATGAAGAGCTTTTTTTTAAATAGAAATTTGTTTGCAAAGAGGATCTGCTAACTACAGTAGGTACCAGTTGTTTATCATAAAAGCTCAAGAATTCAGTCAGATTCACATGATGGCCCCCATTAACATAGCTTTTTAAATCATCTATCAAATGTAGATCTATACTTTGACTAAAACTAAGACATTACTTTTCCTTGATCCAGAATTTTCAGGTCTAATTAGATGCCTATAGTTGTTATCCTGCTAGAAGATAAACCTCTGACCCAGCCAACAGTGTTTTCCAGCCTCCAACATATTAAGCTGCCCTATATTTTGTGCCTCTGCCCTTCTAATATCTCTGATCAACTTCACTGTCACTGCTGAAGAAACATTCCCACATCATGATGCTGCCACCTGCCCCTTTACACGGTTAGCATGTGCTCAGTGTAAAGCACTGTGTTGGTTTTCCATCTGCAATATTTTTTTCCACGTAGACCAGCTAATCTCTCATCTCAAATGAACCTTCATACATGTTGACCATGTTGACCTTTAACATATCTTCTGGAAAGGCCCAAACATTCAGATGTTATGGGGAATGATCTATAATGTAATCTGTCTTACTCATGTAAATTCTTGTTTCTGATAGTGTTCATTATTTGGATAAGACATTGTTTATAGTGGCAAAAAAGCAATAACTAGGAACAGGAAGAAAGAACACGTTTCATCAAAGGACCACTGGACAGCTATGGTGGAAATCATTTTTTTCTGATGGAATCGCCGACTCACAGGTTTAGACTACAAGAAGCACAAATGGACAAAAATTTTTTAAGAAATGGACGATCAATATGAAAACATGATGGCTTTTGAAGAGTTGAATCCTTGGTAAATATAGAGAATATGTTATATATGTTCTGTGTAAAAACACTTGAACTCAATAAAATATAAGTGATGAAAAAAATGCATTGTGACAAACCGCAAACTACTTTTTTGCTAATGTTCTTTAGCAGTGGTTTTCTTCTTGCTACTCCTATTTTATGCAAAGGTTTACTGTTTCCCCACCTGAGGCGTGTGTCTCTGTGGCTCCTCCTGACCTGGAGTCAATCTTTTAACGGCCAATGGTCAATAACAATGTCTTTGTAGGTTTTTTGTTGTGCTAAACACTTTCGATTTTTAAATGATGTTTGAACATCATTAAAACACAATCATTTGCAATTTTATAAATTATTCTCCAGGAGGGAGCAGCTCTACATAGACATGCCCATCCACTCCTTTTCTCAGGATGGGGAGGAGCTGCTGCTCAAAGAGCAGAATTCACAAGCTTTATTCAGACATGCATCAATAAAGCAAAATACACCCTTTTTATGATTTTAATAAAGGAATAACTAGTCACATACAGGTCCTTGTCAAAATATTAGCACAAACTTCATCCAACCGATAAAAGAAAAGTGTTCTTAATACAAAAAAAGTTCACCTTCAAATAATTATATACAGTTATGCACTAAATTCTTGGTCGGGAACCCTTTTGCAGAAATGACAGCTTCAATGCGGCGTGGCATGGAGGCAATCAGCCTGTGGCACTGCTGAGGTGTTATGGAGGCCCAGGATGCTTTGATAGCGACCTTTAGCTCATCCACAGGTCTTTCGTCTCTCAACTTTCTCTTCACAATATCCCACAGATTCTCCATGGGGTTCAGGTCAGGAGACCAGACCATCACAGACTGATGGTGCTTGACACTGGACTTTTGGCATTTTGGCATTTCCTTCTCCTGAGTCTTCCCCCAGACTGTGGCACCTTGATTTCCAAATGACATGCAAAACTGAGCAACAGTCCAGTGCTGCTTCTCTGTAGCCCAACCCAGGTGCCTCTCCCGCTGTTTCTGGTTCAAAAGGGGCTTGACCTGGGGAATGCAGCACCTGTAGCCCATTTCCTGCACACGCCTGTGCACGGTGGCTCTGGATGTTTCTACTCCAGACTCAGTTCCCTGTTTCCGCAGGTCCCCCAAGGTCTGGAATCGGCCCTTCTCCACAATCTTCCTCAGGGTCCGGTCACCTCTTGTCGTTGTGCAGCGTTTTCTGCCACACTTTCTCCTTCCCACAGACTTCCCACTGAGGTGCCTTGATACAGTGCTCTGGGAGCAACCTATTGGTTCAGAAATATCTTTCTGTGTCATACCCTCTTGCTTGAGGGTGTCAATGACGGCCTTCTGGACAGCAGTCAGGTCGGCAGTCTGAACCATGATTGAGGTTTTGAGTGATGAACCAGGCTGGGAGTTTTAAAGGCCTCAGGAATCTTTTGCAGGTGTTTAGAGTTAATTTGTTGATTCAAATGATTAGGTGCATAGGTCCTTTAGAGACCTTTTTCATGATATGCTAATTTTGTGAGATAGGAATTTTGGGTTTTCATGAGCTGTATGCCAAAATCAGATCAAGATAATCAAATTAAGACAATAAAAGAATTGAAATATTTCAGTTACGGTGCAAT